TTTCTCGTCAGAAAGAAAGTAAAATGTGCTACTGTTGTAAATAACGTCGTCTTCAACTCGGCTTTCCTTCCTAGGAGTCACTTAAAGTGGTTTACCTGTTTTGTAAGAATTGGCTCAACTGAAAACTTATGAAGCAAGGCTGAAGATTTTGTGCAGGGATAGCGTGTTTAACAGATGTGAGGCCCCAGGGAGCAGCCCTCTCCCCCACAAAAGCAGAAAGCAGTCTGTAACCTGCCTAAGCATATGCCAACTTCATTATGACCAATTCAGATTGCAAGTGAGTGACCAAGGAAAAGGGGGTCATGGCTGCCCTTCCCATGGCCCAGAATTTTTACTCTTGTCACTATTTCCCTGGTGTTTGTGAGTGGGAGTATCACATATGACTCAGGTGTGGGTGCCAGTGTTAGTGCATTGGTTAAATACAAAGTGAGACTTCTTTTCAACTTTTCAAACAGAACTAGACAAATGTCTGTTGTCTTTCTGCACTCCAGTGGATCATTTTATGTACCTCTCTGCAGTTGATGTGCCCTACCTCACTTGATAGAACATGGCTTTGAACGTAATGTCTCTGTGGCTTACCCTATTCATTTTGATCACACAAATCAATTAACATGCAGTAGTCAGAATTGCGCCCTGCTACTTTGACTAGACAACTCTAGTTTATGGCGTCAGCGAACCATGTCACCATAAAGAGAAGCAGGAAGCCAGATGGTCTGGGTGCTGGCATCTTCCTCCCCTTTGGTCCTTGCCCTTCCTCCCTCCTTGCCCCACCATAGCAAGGCCCGAATTGTGAAAGTTACAGAGTCAGAACATGCTGGAGAGATATGGCAGTGCCTGATTTCATTAGGAATTATGAAGCTTCGGTAATCAAATTACTGTAGTGTTTCCATGAAAATAGACATATTGACTGGCGAAGCAGAATAGAGAACCTGGAAGTAAACCTTTATGCTACAAATGTGTAGTCAACTGTACTAACAGGTGTAAAGAATACATGTTATTCAAGAAATGGTGTTAGGAAAACTGGGTCTCTATGTTAAAATAATGAAGTTACGTTATGACCTCACATTGTACACACACACCACAAGAACTAAAGGAGTATTAGAGCCTTAACTATACAGTCTAAAACAGTAAAAGTTAGAATATGTAGGGTAGACAACCTTGTTGAGCTTGGTTTGAGCGATAATTGGTGGCAAGGATAGCTAGGTGGGATTCATCAGCTGAAAACCTGCACTGCATGGGACACGGCCCAAGTGAAAGCACGCCTGTGCAGCAGGAAGCTGTCCCAGGCTTCCCTGCTGCCCCCTCGGTAAGGAGAAGCATCTGAAGTGTATATAGGGAACTTTTTGATTTGTTCTGCTGTGAATACAGTGTCTTGCTTTGTAGCTCAGGCTAGTTTTGGACCCACTATGTAGCCTAAACTAGTCTTCGGTTGATAATCCCATGCTTCAGCCTCCTGAGTGCTAGGGCTGCAGGCATGTGCTATGTACCCAGCACAGGACTCTTAATAGCCAGAGGGGCGGGGTGAGAGGGAGGGAGGGAGGGAGGAAGAGAGAAAGGAGGATAAGAGAAGAGAGAGTGGGGAGGGAAGGAAGGAAGGCAAGAAGGACGCACGAAGGATCTGAATAGACATTTCTCCAAAGAAAACATGCATACGAAAGCATGTTTAGCATCACTAATCTTCTGTAAAACGCAGATCAAAACCTTAAGATTCCCCTCACATCTGTTATAGTGACTGCTTAAAGAACACCACAAAGCTAGGGTGTTGGAGAGCATGTGGAAAAGGAGAATCTTCATACCCTGGCAGCAATGTAAATTAATATAGCCATTGTGGGAAACAGAATGAAGTTTCTTCTAAAAAAATTGAAAATAGGAGTGCCGTTTACTCCAGCAATCACACTGATGGACATATATCCAAAGAAATAAAAATCTTTGTCCTAAAGAGATACCTGCACACTCACATTCATCACATCACTATTCCCAATGTTAGGGACAAGAAGACTACCTAAATGCCTCTGAACAGATAAAATGGATAAAGAAAACGTGGGGAGGAGGGAGGGAGAGAAAGCAGAGAAGGGGGTTATGGAGACAGCCTAAATGCTTGTCAACAGATAAATGGATAAAGAAAGTATAGGGGGAAGGGAAGGATAGAGATAGACAGAGGAGGTAGGACAGGGAGACAACCTGAATGTCCAGCAGCAGATAAGCGGATAAAATGTGGGAAGTGTGTGCACGTAATGCGCTCTCATTCGACCTTTGACAAGAAGGAAACCCTGCCGTTTGCAAGAACGTGTGTAGGTATAGAAGACACTGTAATACTACATTAAATGAGCCAGATACAAAGGACAAAAACTCAGGGCCAGGAAGAATGATAGCTGTGACCGGGGACCAGGGGAAGGTGTGGGAGTGGTTTCAGTCAAAGTCGAGAGGTTGTAGTTGTGACTTCTAGTGTTGCTGTCCAGCAGGGTCTGTAGTTAACAGGACTGTAGCATATATTTAACATTTGGTAGAAAGGGTAGATCTTAAGGTTAAGTGCTCTTACAACAAAAGAAACAAAAATTAAACCTTTTTTAAAAAAAATAAAGAGAACAGAGGAATCTTTTGAGATTTGTTTTGGCTGGCTTTTTTTCCAAGCTTGAAAATACGCATGTAAACGTCAAATAATATAAAGAAACTGTATTTGATCATAAGATTGGTTCCTGATGAGTGTGAGCTGTTAGCATGCCCCTCGCTATCATTGGCATTCTGTTGAGTTCAGCCATTGATGGAAGACTAGATTTCGGGTTGTCTTCCCCTCCTCACAGCTAGTAAGCGGTCAGTCAAGGCACCAAGGGACTGTAAGTAAGCCTCGCTTTTGAATCTGCGTATCAGGAGGGGGCTGGGAGCATGAGCTGGAGGATGTCATGGCACAGTGATTAATGGTCTCTAGGAACTGGAAAGGAGAGTAATATACACAGCCTCTCTACCCCCTGGAGGAGGAATGCAAACACCATTGTGTAAATGTGTGCCTCCTCACTGACTTCCTGGTAGCTGGGGATCTCATGCACTCCTCTCCCACAAATAAAACTGTCAGAGAGGTGGCAGGGCTCAAGGCTGACCTCCTCACGTAAAAAGAATAGCTCAGACACACTGAGCCAGGAAATTAATTTTGTAGCCGTTTGAGAACTGAGTTGTTTAATAAGAAATGAGAAAATGGGAACTTTTCTTGAAAAGCCCTAAACATCAAATATTTGCTGATTCCAGCTCTACATTTGGCTTCTTAAATATGCTGAATTCCTGGAAACTCCTCCTTTAGTGAATCTGAAGGAGAGGCATCCCTTTGTAATGGAGTGACTGTCTCAGACTCTTTCGGCTGGTCTGTGATGGATTTAGAGAGTCACACCGCTGATGGATTCCAGAGCTGGCAGGCTTGAGCTGGGGGTGCTAGCATTTCAGAATGGCTTATACCGTTTTAGAAAGTGATTCTTCAGTAGAGTTCTTCTCTCTTCTCTCCAGTGACTGTGGTTTTTAATAACAGTTTCCAAATGCTTAAGTGACAAGCAAGCCATTTTAAACTATAAATCAGGAACTATGGATGTTTGAAAAAAAATCTGAAGTTTGTGTGAAAAGTGGTGTGCTCTAACTGCCTTTGGGTGTTCACAAAGGACAGAGCAGAGACTGTGACAGGAACAGCTTTAGTGAGGACAGCAGGAGCTTACACTTACCAGAAACCATTTAGTCATAAAAATTGTCCAGTTATTTTTTTACCTACAATTTATATTATTTTTTATTCCCACTCATTTTCTGCATTATCTGATTTGTAATGGATTTTTTACTAATTTTTATTTTTCTGTAATATAAAAAGAATGAAATGTTGATTCATGGAGAAATAAAGCCATACTTCAAAGTAAAAGAAAGAAAAACGTCTGTATCATTCTTATTTGTTTTGTCTTATTTTTTAGTGTCACTATAAATGACAGTTTAAATTGCTGGGATCTAAATTAAGACAACACCAGCTGGATTAAGCCCTGGCTGTGGTTCGACTTGTAAACTGTATTTGCAAGAGTTTATTTTTAGTCAGGATGTGGTTATTTTTAGACTCCCTTCTGTGTCACTGGGAAATGCAATGCCTGTCTTTCCATTGTTTATCAGGAAGTCCTGGGGTACAGACTGTTAAAATCCAGTTCCATGCAAACACTGCCTCTCCTGGTAGACAGAAATACGAAAGAGTACAGGGAGGAAAGTATGCACACTGAAAACACGCCTGATTCTGAATTTCTACACACATTTGAGCCTCCTGTGTACTGAGCAACAGAATAGGTTTTTAGGGAATGCCAAAAATACAAGGTTTGGGTTCCCCCTGCTGGTGTGCATCCCAGGTTTGAGTATAATCCTTGAAAAGCAGAGCAGCCTGGGCTAGGGACTAGAAACAGGCTGTGTTGGCCTCTTCAAGAGACCCGATGATGAGAGAGGGGAAAAAAGAGGACCATTTCTTTTTCCCTGAAAGTGTCATACAAAAAAATAGGATAACTTAAAAATTGTATTTTGTGCACTAGAAGAAACAAATCCTAGTCCTTTAGTGTTTATTTGGGTGGTGTTCCCCTGATAAGCTGCTCCCACACACTGCTTCTCACATGTGTTATGTTGTAATCTAAGGGGTGATGAACAGCAGTGGATCCACAGAAGGAGTCCAAGCCCCTGAAGAGAATTCAGAGCCAGCGTTATCATAGAGAATTAAAGAGCTGGCATTCCAGCTGCTAATTCCCGTCTTAGCATTCCAGAGTGACGTGACATCCTGTGATTGTGTCTGTCCATTTAACATCGCTTCTTTTTAATCTGTCACATGTATGCTTGAGACAGGTCTTTATTTTCCTTAGTAAATGCCAAGTAATATTAATGGCTCATTTTGAAAAAGAAAAATTTTAATTGACTCCTAAAAGTCACCTCCAAACTTTGTATTATGTTTGCATTTTAAAAGCCTATTCAATCAAACTAAAATATTGTATTTTCACATTGCCTTTCAGCAATGCCGTCAACCTTTTAAGCAATGTTCCAGTCTCTTGTTTGGATGTTCTCATTTGTCCATTAACCCATGAAGAAACAGCTCAAGAGGCGACGACTCTAGATGAACTGCCCAGTGATAAAACAACCGAGAAGGACACCACTTTGAAAAGCAATACCCTGGTATACAATGGCATGAATATGGAGGCCATTTATGTTTTACTCAATTTTATGGAGAAGAGAATTGACAAGGTAAGGCTGCTGGAGTGGAGTCCTTGGAAGGTACATCTAAAGACCAGTGTGCCCTGCACAGAGACAGGCCACACAGCATGAGCTCACAACTAGCTTGTTCTTTGTACTTGGCATGGCCTATAGTTGTACTTTTAAAAGCATTTTATCATAATAATGATCACTTGGTAGAAATAAAGTGAGTTTTTTTATGGTGAAAATTGTATTTTTACACCAAATTTATAACTAGTGTCTGAAAGCAAAGGAAAAATGAATAACTGCCCTCCATAGCTACTTTGTAAATGTTAGAAGCACTAACTTACTCCAAAATGACTTCTTGAGAAGTGTCTCGCTCTCGGTTTTCTCTTGTCTGTCACTCAGTTTCTCTGGTAAATGTGCTGAAAGGCAGCAGTGTGGCTTAGATGGGTCCCAGAATCCTTTGCTTCATTGAAGTGCATTAGCTAAACTGGTGTAAATTTTAGAAAGTGTAGGAAAAACAGACAAAACTAGACAGTAAAATGGAGACAACTTTATGGAAATACTATTTAAAGTAACTTTACAAACTGTCCGTAAGCTTTGGTATCATAAGATGTATCCTCCTCCTCTCCCCTCTTCCCCTCAAAAAAAATGTCTTCATATTCTCAGGTTATGGAGGAGAGGCGTACCTTTAGGAACTGGACTAATACAGCATGCATGGTTTTCTTTATAGGGAAGCAGCTATAGAGAGGGTCTAACTCCAGTTCTCAGCTTATTAACAGAGTGTTCTCGAGCCCATCGGAATATCCGAAAATTTCTCAAAGATCAGGTAATTGCTTACATCTTAAATTTAAAACTTTGTATATATGTTGTTAACATAGAACTAATGAATTCTAATCGGAAACCTTCCAGCCAGGAATAAGTGATCTTGTGAACATTGTTTAGTCATTCATCATTTATCCAGCCAAGAATAAAGGATCTTGTGTACATGGTTACTCACTCATCATGTATCCAGCTCGTGTTCACTGAGATCTGTTATGTGCTGCTGTTAAACAGTTCTGAGTATTTAGTACCATGAGTTCTTTACTTTTACAGGCTTTACCTTATGGGAGATAATTTAAAAAAATAACTGTAATAGAAGGCATGATAAGTGTTCTAAAGAAGGGAAAGGAGAATTGAGATACGAGAATGCCTCTTGAGGAAGTGACAGTGAGCAGCAAGTCAGAGAAATAAGAAGTGTGTCTCTGAGAATGTTGAGAAGAATCTATCAGAAAGAAAATGTTTAGAGTTCTCAGATGAGAAGCTTTGGTGTGCTTCAGGCACACACGACAGCCGGTGTGCCTGGACAGAAGGCAGAAGGGAGGGGCAGTCAGCGCAGGCCAGAGTGCACAGGGCGATGACAAGGTTGTCTAGCACTTTGGATTCTCTCTAAATAAGATTCTCTCTAAAAAAGACGCTGGAGTTTTTTCCGAGGGTTTGTAGGACCTTGTCTGTGTGAAACATATTCAAATGCTGTGTGTATGAGAGTATAGTGGAGCATGAGTGGATGCTGCGGCATACTTAGACCAATCCTAGAAACAGCTGGCAAAGGCTTAGAAAGTACAGTAGTGGCCAGAGTTCATCCTTTGGGCTGTGTCTTCAAAGTGCAGCTCACATGATGCTCACATCACATCACTGATGGATTGGGACATAACCTGAGAAGACATAATCAACTTTGAACTTTTCAATTCTATCTTAAACTCACGACTTTGACAGTAATGGACTCCTTAAAATTTCAGTGTCAGACACCTTCTTTTCGTGCCCCTTAGTTAGTCCAGGCTTGTCTGGTCCCATGAGGAGCATGCCGCTTATTTCACTCTTCGGGGCCCTTACTTCTCTTGTTGCCTAGACAAGCTCCTGTGCGGTTCGGATCTGTAGTCACTGTGTCCAGACAGCGGTGACTGCTCTCACCCTAGGTCTGCCCACTTTGAAAAGAACAACCAAGTGGTTGAGTAAGCCTTCTGTCCACTGTGGCCTGCTATTGGACACTTGAACTGACTAGTTCCCTTGAATTTAAAACTACCAACACCCAAGTGGCTTCCCAGGATGTTCCAATATATTTTACAACTCCTTTTCCTTCAAAAGGAGACAGAGTTCCCTGTAGCTCACACTGTCCTCTAACTCACTGTATAGCTAGGGATGACCTCAAACATCTGATCCTCATGCCTCCACCTCCAAAGTGCTAGGATTACATCTCTTCACCACCACACTAGATTTATGCAGTGCTGGAAATCCATTCCAAGACTTGGTGCATACTAGGCAGACCCTCTGTCAACAGAGGTTCATACATGCCTGCCTTCCGGTAGCATTTGGTGTAAGTTCCCACTTCCTTGAAACACTTACTTAATTTGGATCTTGGGACACAGTAGAGACCTTTGCTGGTCATCTTCCAAATCCCAAATGTTTGTGTGCCTAAGACAAGTGCACCTGTGTCTACCTCTCTCCTCCCTGTTGATCACAGCCGAGTGTGCTGGTTCTGAACCCATCTATATGCGGATGACTCCCAGGTATGTATGCTGAAACACAAACCTAGCGATCCCCAGAGCCGTAGACAGTCATGATGCACTGCTCATTTTGACTGCTGGGTGTGTAGTGGTTTCCTTTAGTGTAGCCCAAATTAATACGGTCATCCCCCTCCTCCTCTCCTGGTGCTCCCTCTTCTCTCCCATGCCTTTACTAGCAGCACCTTTACTTCACGGCCATTTATAAATTACTCAGGGTCATTTGGACACATGGTGAAAATTAAGTAGATACCTTCCTGTGTGTCAAGCACAAGAATAGTGCTGAGAGAGGACATGAGAAAGCAGGGACTCGATCACTTCTAAACAGACACCTTAAAAGCATGACCACTGCTTCAGCCGGAGAGCTTAATCAGCTCCACTTATTTATGAGTTTGATTACTTTAAAGCATTCCACCTTGACTAGAAGAACTTGGTGAAGAATAATGAATAAAAGTATTTTATGGGGCTGGAAAGATGGCTCAGGCTAAGAGCACTGCTTGCTCTTCCAGAGGACCCAGGTTCGATTCTCAGCACCCACGTTGTGGCTCACATTTGTCTGTAACTCCATTTCTGGGGTCCAGTGCCCTCTTCTGCCCCCCCTAGGCACTGCATGCACATCTTGCACAGACATGCCTGCCGGTAAAATACCCATACACATAAAAATAAACATTCTTTTCTTTTTCTTAAAAGAAAATACTTCATTTTTTCATGTTTTTTACTTGTTAGTATAAAAGCAAGGTCAAGGTTCCAGTAAACTGGCTGTATTTACTTTTTCTAATATGGACACCTAAAGAAACCTATTTGTAGCCACATACTGTACAGATGCACAAGAGTGTAAACCCCCTCTCTCCTTGGGCAACACCGCAGTGTAGATGAAGGGTGAGATAGGACAGGTGAAAAGGTAACTAAAGCTACCTTTAGTGTGTTAGCCTGTGGAGAGTACTGCAGGGGAGGGGGTGTGTCTCATCATTCGGGAGGTCCAAGATTGAGAGATGACATCCATTGACAGCCTTCTCACTGCCGTCCCCAGGGAGATGCAGGACATCACCTGACACGTTGGTCCCACTTCTTGTTGCTGGGACGGAAGTCCCAACAGAAGCAGCTGAGGGGGAAAGACTGTGTAGCTCCTGGTCCACCACAGTAAGGAAGGCTCAGCAGCACAGCATCTTCTAGTTGTGACCTAAGGAACATGAAGCTCTTCGTTCCCTCTCAGCAAACAGGGGGCAGAGAAAGGGAAAGACAGTGTCTGGCTGACTTGTTCATGTTCTGTGTTCACATCCTCACAGTGCAAACTAGTCTTCATTCGTTCTAGCATCCCTTAATGGTACATAGTGATAGCTCCAGAGTGAGACCCCATCTCAAAACAGTAACAGGTGGCTGGGGTCATGGCCCGGTGGGTAAGAACACTTGCCACATAACCATGAGAACCCAAGTACAAATCCTTACTGCCCACGTAAAAATGTCGGGCGTGGCCGTGCTTTAACCTCAAGCACTGTAGGGGGACATTAACAGGAGGGTTGATGAGGATTACTGGCTGTTAGTGTAGGTCCAGGTACAATGAGAGACACCGCCTCAAGGGAATAAGGCAGAGAGTAATAAAAGACACACAGTGTCCTCTGGCCTCCATGTACATGCCTGCATACATGTGCACACACAAGAGCAACAAAAAATACAAAGTTTCGGAAACTCAAGGCAATTCCTTCTATCTGTAAAATCAAAATGACTTTTTACTTCCAGTATGCAGCGGTGCCACAGCCACCAGGTATATATTTCCATTCCAAAAGAGAAGTCAAATTAGGGAATCGGCTCAAAGCCCCAGGGAGGGGGAGCAGTATGGGGAGACAGTAACATTTGGCATCCTACACACTCGGTAGTTTCCTACAGTTTTGCTGGCCGTGGCCCAGATGACTGACACATCCATGGCCTTCCTCAGTAAGTGCGACATGTTGATGTTGCTAGTCACCCTTTGTTTCTTGGGTCCCTGCTATAGCTCCACTTCAGCGTCTCCACTGTGCATCATCCCACCAGGCCCTCATTGCAGGAGCTCTGAGCCTGCAGCAGATTTCTGCCTGTCTTCTTTGAAGCTGTGGTTGATGCCATCATGATCTCACGAGTCATACATTCTGCAGACCTGCAGAACTAGCACCGTGTAGATGGCAGGAAAATCTGCTCTGATATGAACTCTGCTTCTGCCTACTTGAGCCACTGCTACAGGCAGAGAACTTCACCCGCTGAACACAGGGAAACAAATCCTGAGATGGTCTTGGACAGTAAGCCAGTAGAAAGCACCCTGGGCTCAGTCCCTGAGACAGTGCTATCCTGAAAGGTCTCTTGGCCTGTGGTTGGGGTGGAGAGTGGCCATTCCTTTAGTCGAGTTTTTATTCCTTCCTTGGGCAATCTTTCTATTCCATTTCCTTTTGCTTCCAACTCTTACTATAAATCTAACAGTAGCCATAGCACTAATATCATAACCCAAATGTTTTATCGTTTTGAAATTTCTCCAGCCAAATAAACTAGTCCAACATTCCTAATTCCAGCCTCTGCAATGTCTTAGGACAGGGATTCATTGTGGTCAGATTCTTTGTAACAGTGTAATAATGATGGCTTTTTTTTTTTTAATTTTCACATCAGATTCTCATTTCCATCTAATATTCTTTCCTAGTTTCTTCCTTTTCTGAGCCTTTACCAGAACCTTCCATTGAACTCTTTGTACAGCATTCAAGCCTTTCTAACATGTTCTTCCAAATTCTTCTAACCTCTTCTAGTCACCCAGTTCCAAAGCTGTCTCTCCATTTTCAGATACAGTCACAGTAAACAACCCTACTAATGGTACCAATTTTCTGTGTCAGTCTGCTCATAGTTACTATGATGAAATACCTGGGGCAGCCTAACTCTACAGAGGAAATAGATTCCTTTAGCCCTGGAGATTAAAGAGTAAGGCTCTAGTGAGGACCACATGGCATGTTTCAGAAGCATGTGTGCAAGGAGGAAGGGCCACATTTCAAAGCAGAAAGCCAGAGTGAGCTCTCCCTGGCTTGTAACATCTTGCTCTCCTGCAAGCTCGAGGCTGTCAGCAGAGTTACCTTGATGCCCTTGGGAACAGCTCCTCGGTGAACCTGAGAACCTCCCAGTTGCCTCAGCTCTCAAAGGTCAGCTCACCACCTCTTGCCACCACCACACTAGGGATCGTGCTTTAACACAGGAAACCTTAGAGAATGCACAGAGTGCAGCACAGTCTATTCAACACAGGAGACGGTGAATGCACTCACCTGTCCGGACCCTCCCCTGCCCCAGGTGCTTGGCTCATGCTTCACTGCTCAGCCTGCCCACTTTTCTGTCCTCTTGCTGTTCCATGGAGATTGGCCCTGACACTCCCTACCCCCTTTCTACAACTGTTTATAGACTTCCAGTGCTGATCTAACTCAGAGGACATGACTTCCTCTCCCTCTTGTCCATCTTCCTCCTAGCAGCTGCCAAACATGCCGCTTGCCTGTCCGGTTGTTTTTCTTTCGGACTCTAATAAATTGTCCTTGGACTTCAGAGAAAAGGAAGAAAGGGAGAGGGAGAAAAAGAAAAGAGAAGGAAACAAACTTCTAAAGAGGATGCATTGTAGATAGTGCTCAAGACAGGCAGAACTTAATGTAGCACGTGGCCTCAGGGTGTGGCTCATGGGTGGAGCATGTGCTTGGCCACAGACTCAATCTCTAGCACCAAGGGACAGTAACAGATCATTAGCTTTGGTGATATTGTAGTGGAAGTTATGTCTAACTAGTTACTACATGTAGTAACAATTACCTTATTAAGTCTAACTCATGCATACCCAAAGGAGACTGGCCTGGAGTGCTCTGTTTGAGCAATTACAATAAAAGCCATGGAAAGGGCTGACCCAGGTTGTACTAGTCTAGGGACTTATAGAAGAGATACTATGGTACAAAGAGAAACTAGATACAACTTAGCAAAAAATTGTTGAGGGATAATGTGAGGGGCAATGCATGTGCCATTTGGGAGTGACGTGCAACAACCAAGTAATCAAGAGCCGGGCAGTGGTGGCGCACACCTTCAATCCCAGCACTCAGGAGACAGAGGCAGGCGGATCTCTGTGAGTTCGAGGCCAGCCTGAACTATAGAACGAGTTCCAGGAAAGGTGCAAAGCTACACAGAGAAACCCTGTCTTGAAAAACCAAATAAAAACAAAACAAAAAAAACGAAAAACCAAAGTAGTCAAATCCTTAAGAAACCCAGGAAAGGAGCTAACATACTTTTGCATGCTAATCTTTGTCTGTAGATTGTGCACACTGGATGTTAAGGTATCTCCTGTAGAAATCACTGCAGTAGAAATCATCTATCATGTGCCTCATTCTTCTAGAAATAAGAAATAAACCCAGTAGAATTAACTCAATCAAATAAGAATGTATTGTGCAATTACCTTATCCCTTATGTTAGCCCCACCCTTCTAGAGATGTTTATAAACTTACAAGCATTTGGGTAGTTTGTCTGACATTTTTTTCTCTGTGTTTTAATTTATGGCTGTATTTCCAATCGCTGTACTTTCTGATACACTCACTATAGAAAAAGAGAGATGGGAAGGGAACCGTTAGTTCAATAGATTAAATAAATGCTATATGTATATAGTCTGAATAGGTGCACAGTAAATCATTCTCCAACTTGTCATGTGCTTCATTTCCTAGCACAAGGACTCATTCTTCATATAGAAGGCACTTGCTATGGTTTGGGTGCAGTTTTTCCTCCATGAACACATGTTAGAAATGTGATGTCCCCAAGTGGCAGTGGTGGGTGATGATGTGGAACCTTTAGATGTATTGCCCCATGGAGAGTCCACAGGTCACTGGGGCACTGCCTCAGCAGGGTTAAGGAGTTCCTACGGGGCCTTTAGCTCTCACAAAGCAAATGGAGCTGGCCTGACCTTTCCTCAAATCACTGGCTCCCACAAACACCCTGCCTCTGTGACACTATCCCCACTAGGCCCTCACCAGAAGTAGAGCCAGTGGGTAGGATCACCTGATCTTGGGCGTTGAATCTCCAAAACTGTAAACTAGATAAAGCGGTTTTCTTTGGAAAGTTAGCATGCCTTGGGTCTTTTCTTATAGGAACAGAAAATAGAACAATACATCATTTAATGAAAATTACTTGGAGTTATTCATTTTCCCATCTAAATCAATAAATATTTATTGGACACTTATAATATTCCAGATACTGAGAAGAGACTAATAAAGAAAGGGGGGGAACTGTCCCTATAGAACTTACCTTTTAAAAAAGATATAAGCATTGAGCTTAAGAGAGAAATGCTGAGAAAGGAAGACACACCCTAGAACATGGGCGCATGCTTCTTAAGAATCACAGAGTGGGGCTGGAGAGATGGCTCAGAGGTTAAGAGCATCGACCACTCTTCCAGAGGTCCTGAGTTCAATTCCCAGCACCCACATGGTGGCTCACAACCATCTGTAATGAGATCTAGCGCCCTCTTCTGTATACATAATAAATAAATAAATCTTTAAAAAAAAGCTGGAGTGGATTAACAGTGGTGTTCTTTAAAAAAAAAAAAAAAGAATCACAGAGTGTACAGAAAGAGGCACAGCAAACATTGGCTGTGCCGAGTGGTTAGAGCATGAGAAGGACTGTAGAGGACTGGTAGTGGGGATGGGAAAGGAGGAGTGAAGTAGTCGGAGGAGCTCGGGACAGTATCTCCAAGGAACACTCGAACAGAGACCTGCAGAAAGTGTGCGTAGACGTGTGTGTTCTAGTGCAGCTGGCGTAGAGAAGAATCACTGAGGGTGAAGAAAGGGCATCTCTTCCCCAAATGCTTGGGTCTAAAAGTGTTTCAGATTTATAATGTTTTGAGTTTGGGGGCTAGCTGCATAGATTACACAGTAAGATATCTTACAATGGGACCCAGCTGTAAATAGGAAATTCTTTCATGTTCCATATACACCTTATACCCTAGCTTGAAGACACTTTACACATTTTTAGCACACCTCACTTAACCCATCACATGAAATTCATTTCCCTTGTCACATGGAATTTCTATTTATGGCATATTTCAGTACTCAAAGGTTTCAGGTTTTGGAGTTAGGAATATTCAACCTGAAATAGCCATTTTTAATATAAAATTAAACAACAAAAAAACAGAAGTACAGATTTTTAAAAAGTAAATGCTGAATATGCTGCTAGACTTAAAAGAATTAAGTCAGTTTTTGGGGCTACTAAAGACGCAAAGCGTGGGCATTGGCGCATATGGGAGAGGGACGTGTGGAATGTTGGTTCTTAAACACCATCCACTTTCTCTCCTCCCCCTTCTCTTCCTGTCCTGAAACTGTCCAGCTAGGCTAGACTGGCTGGCCAGTAGGCCCCGGAATCCTCCCCCAGTGCTAGCATTACAAGCCGACAGCCCACACCTGGATCTCCCATGGTTTCTGAGTATTGAAGTCAGGTCCTCATGCTTACACAGAAAGCACTCCACTGGCTTCACCACTCCTCTTGGCTTTGGAGGAAGTCTTGCTGTGTCCCTGAAACAGACCTTGTGCTCTTGGCCTCCTCCCTGAGCCTTCCATGTGCTTGTGGGTGCTGCCGTTCCCAGCCAGAAAGAGAAACCTGATAGGGACTTGTAAATTAATTTTGCTGGGCACCAGAAGCACTGCAGGAGTTGAGATACCAGGTGATATGGGAAAGACGTGGTTCGTCCAAACAGAACCTTACTACACACATGAGCTTATCTGAGGTCTGCTTGATAATGATGATGATGATGACGGTTTATTTCATTTTATTTGGAAGCTAACATTATTTTGTTACTCTTGTAAAATTAAGTGTAGTTTCTTCTAAGACTGACCAGTTGCATGGTACCGTTCTCCCGTACCCCAGGACCCTCAATTGATGATGGTTGTTTTCACTTATGCCGTCAGGTTTTACCGCCATTGAGGGACGTGACAAACCGACCTGAAGTTGGCTCAACTGTGAGGAATAAGCTGGTGCGCCTCATGACACACGTTGACCTTGGAGTCAAGCAGATTGCTGCGGAGTTCCTTTTTGTCCTTTGCAAAGAGAGAGGTAGGTTCAGCTCTCTTTGCCGTGGTTTTTTATCTTTTGGAGGAAGTCGGAGAATCTCCTGTTGGTTGTAGCATTTGATTCCACTCTGCAGAGCTGAGTGCTTACCTGTGATTACAGCGGCTGTGCAGTTCACAGGCAGTAGTAATCAGACAGCATTGTTAGGTGCTCCCCACGTTCCTTAGGATGTGCACAGACATACTTCCCAAACACACAAGCATCCACACCCAGACCTTGTAGCATCTCGGGCCTGGAAACCATTGTACGAGGTCTGCTGCTGTTCTAGTGACCAGGTGCAGTTCTTGGTCGGTTCCTGGCCTTCCTCCTAAGAGTTTTCTTCCCTGAGCTCCACAGGCTGTAGAGTCACAGGATGGTAACTGTATAACATACTGCATAGAAGTCCAAAAGTCTAGTAAGGTATGGCTTTACCCTTGAGATAACAGCAATATATTTCTTCTTGTTTATTAATAGCTTTGTACAAAAAATCACATCTAAGTAGATTTTTATTTCACTTTTTAAAGAACCCCAGTTTTATGAGATAGTTCAGTTCTCTCAAAAAAATTTATTCATTTGTTCATTTATTTATTAATTTTTCAGTGCTGGGAGTTGAATTTAGGGTCTCATACATGCTAGGCAATTGCCCTACCACTGAGCAGTCTTCCCAGCCCTCAAAATCTTAAATCTTCTGTATTCTTAAACCTTATTTCTGACTTTTTAGTTCAATCACTTAAGTTCCTATAGGGATGGTACATTATTAGCAACATAATTGAAGTGTTGTTCTAATGTTGATGACAGCTTTTAGAAATGACAGGTGTCATGTGCCTGACATCCTGTGCCTAAACACACTTAATCCCATAAGGACACTCTTAAGGTAATACTGCTTCAATTTCACCTTCTTGAACTATTACCTTCTTCCATGATTTGAAAGAAGATTGATTTCCATCTTGTCATCAGATAGTTAACCGTAGTTCTTACATGTATTGTCAAAATAGTGGCTGATTGTGTCTGTTTTTCTTAGATCAAAAATGAGCTGTTGTGGAGGCTGGGGAGACGGGCTAGAAGGCAAAATGCTTGCAAAAGAGTCTGAACTGAAGGCAGGCAGGCAGGCGGGCGGGCGGGCGGGCAGGCGAGCCACGCTTGGTAGCACACACTTGTAACCCCAGTGGAGACGCAGAGACGGAAGGGTCCCTCAGAGAAGGATCCCTGCAGCTTGTTGGCCAGACAGTTCAGCTTGGTTTTCAGTCTTCAGGCCAATGAGAGACCCTCCCTCAGCAGATAGTGGACAGCGTTCCAAAAGAAAGACACCTGTAGGTGTCCTCTAGCTGCCACATGCTCATGCACACACATTTACACCTGTTTTTAAAAGTGTGTGTGTGCGTGTGCGTGTGCGTGTGCGTGTGTGTGTGTGTGTGTGTGTACATTAATCTAAACCAACATACATGTGACCCATTGACTTAAAAATGGGTGGCAGAGCTGGGGAGGTGTGCAGCCTGAGAACTGTAGTTGAGATCCTCAGAACTCAGGTAAAGCCGAGCACAGGCAAGCATGTCTGTAACCCAGTGCACCCTTAGCGAGCTGGGAGGTGGAGGTGAGATCGACAGTCTTGGGAGGGTAGAGGGCCAGCCGCCTGCTTACCCAGCTGTAAATGAGAGCCTTCAAACCTACCTGAGGCTGCTCTTGCCCTTACACATGTGTGCTGTGGCACACTTGCCTATACCCCCCCCCACACACACACATGAAGGTATTAGTACTGCTGTTACTTTTGACTAAGAAGATTGCTAGTTCTGTATAGATATTTTTTTACAATCAACACACATTTCTTGTATACTTTTTAAAAACTCATATATGAACTGGGCGGTGGTGGCGCACGTCTTTAATCCCAGTACTCAGGAGGCAGAGGCAGGTGGATCACTGAGTTCAAGACCAGCCTGGTCTACAGAGTGAGTTCCAGGACAGCCATAGTTACACAGAAAAACCAAAAATAAATAAATGGATAAATAAAACAGATAGATAAAAATTCTTCTATGACTATATATCTAAGGACAGTCTCACCTTACCACCGATGATGAGTCAGTGAATAGCAAATGTGACACATACCTTTGCAAGTGAATTCTGTCAGTGACTTTCATTTGAGGTAGTTGGCACTGCTCCTCCTAGGGTATCTAGTACCTGGGAAGTTTTATAACACAACTGAACTCAGACCTAGGCCAGCTTAGCACAGTAATGTTTGTGGGGTTTGGTTCTTTTTTTTTTAATTAAATTTTGAAACTTGTGTTTGTGGTCATGTGATTTGTCTTTTCGATTACTAGAAATGTGTAAATGTATTGGCGTGAAACCCCTTCCTTTGAGAGCTCCTGAGATGGTTCTTGAGCTGCAGCCCCTGAGTTTGATCATGGAATCGACATGGTAGAGGCAAAGATCCGAGTATTAAGGTTGTCCTCTGACCTCCATATATGTGCAGGCACACACACAAACTAATTAAACAAATAAGTAAATGTGATGAATATTTTTAAATTCATCCATCCAGAAGGTGTTTTTAAGCTAGACACAGAAGTGCACAAGACGGTCAGGCTTTCACCCTCATGTTATTTACTTATGCAAACACCTACAGAGCCAGGCTGGTCATAATGAAAGTAAGACATGCAGTCTACATGTAAAATGGACACTTTCCAATAGTTTGTTGCTTGGAGAACAGGGCTGGAGGGGCAAGGGACTGTAAGGATTGGAAAGGAGGTACTGCCATTAAGAAATTGTAGACTATCAAATAACTTCCTTTTTGTTATTGAAAATAGATTCTTCTCTCATACAGTACATCCTGACCATAGTTTTCCCTCCCTCCACTCCTCCCTGCTTCCCATCTCCTCCCCTCTCCCCCAGATTCACTCGCTCTCCAGCTCTCATCAGAAAAGAGGAGGCCTGGAAGAGACAGCCACCAAACACGCCAAAACAAAACACGGCACGAGGCAGCCCAACAGAAGAGCCCCAAGAGCAGGCAAATCAGCAACACACCAGCTTCCACAGTTAGGAGTCGCACAAAAATGTCAGGCTGATAGTCACACCATATACACAGGACCTGGTGCAAACCCCTGCAGGTCCTATGCTTCCTGCTTCAGTCCCTTGAACCTGCTTAGTTGATTCAGTGGGCCATGTTTTCCTGGTGTCCTCCATCCTCTGACTCCTATAATCTTTCCGTCCCCCTTTCCGTGGGATTCCCTAAGTGGCAAGGGAAGGGACTTGATGGAGAACTCTGATTGAGACTCTCTCTGCACAATGTCTGGCTGTGGGTCTCTGCTCCCGCTCCCATCTGCTGCCAGAGGAAGCCTCTCTGGTAATGACTGGATAAGGCGCTGATCTATGAGTATAGCAGAATATCATTAGGAGTCTTTTTTTTTTTTTTTTTTTTTTTTTTGACCAGTCATGTTAGGCCATCCGGTTCCTGGCCATCCAAGCAGTGTTGAACATGGGCTCCCTCTTGTGGAGTGGGCCTCAAGTTAAGTCAGACATTGGTTGGACACTCCCACAAGTTCTGCAGCACATTGCCCCAGCACATCTTGCAGGCAGGACAGATTGTTGGTCAAAGGCTGGTTGGTATCCAGGTTTCTCTTTCTGTAGCCTGAAGAGTACCTTCCTGCACCAAAGAGACTAGAACATAGGGGTGAAGGCTCCGTTTGGGCAACAGCTCGACCTCGCTGCATTCAATGAACTGTGCAGATGTTGTCTTTGGCAATGGGGCCTTGCTGCCAGTTTGTGGAGAGTGACTCATCTGGGATCTCCACGGGAATCCCTTGGCTAACAACTCAACCAAATACAACCCAGTCCTGCCACTGGAAGCCTTTCCTTTTCACAAAAGATGGCCAGTTTAGACTTGGGATCCTCTATCACTTGGAGTCCTCACTAGGTCACTCACAGGTTCCAGGAAGTTTCCATACCACACCCCAGATGCCCCCTAATTCCAGCTGTCTCTCCCCATGGTCTTGGACAGTTTTATTGGTTTCCTTTAACTTTTTTTTCTTGGCTTTCTTTAAGGGATTTATCCATTTCCTCCAGTTGTTTGTCTTCCTGGCTTTCTTTAAGGGATTTATTAATTTCCTCTGTAAGAACCTCTGTCATCCTCATATAGTTGGTTTTAAGGTCTTTTTCTTGTGCTTGGCTGTGTTGGAATATTGAGGGCCTGTTGTGGTAGGACAGATGGGGTCTAGTGGGGACATATTGTCCTGGCTGTTACTGTGTTCTTATGCTGGCATCTAGGCATCTCAACTTGGGGTGATTGCAGACCTAGGAGCTGATTTCTGGGTTTACCTTTGTTGGGTGGGTGCTTTGTTCTTTGGTTTCTGTTTCCTGTCTGGATTTTCCGAGTGTGTTGCCTGTTTTACTGGCTTGTCCAGCTAGTGCATTCACAGGGAGTGCCTGCTGGTCTTGGAGGCTGGGGATGGCAGGGACAGGTTAGGGGAGGGAGGTCAAGAGTCATGGTCTGTGGGCTCCACAGGAGGCATGGACGCTGGGGTGGGAAGCCACAGCTGGTATTCTATTGCAGGGCTAGGGACGAGCCTGAGGGGTTGGGTCTGGGGTAACAGAGAGCGGAGAAGGTCTGTAGCAGATCAGATAACTTTCAAACAGTCAAAGGAGCTAAAATGTCTCAACTTAGGAAAGCTAACTTGAACGTGAAGGTACTGTGATCTGTGTTCAGACCACAGAGTAGAACAGTGAGCAGCAGTCAGAAGCAGGACACAGAGGGTAAAGTCAGGCATGGAAGGAACACCAGCTGTCTTAAGTATCGTCTGTGCCAGGGCCGCCCACCTCTCCAGCCAACAGGAGCCAGCATGCTAACTTGAGGTCATGCCACCAACTTGTGTTGGACTGTGACAAAACTAAAATTGTATTATCCTCCACAGAGTCAGTGCTTTCTGGAAATAATGCTAAGCAAAAAACCCTAAATTCAGAAAAACAAACACTGCTATGTATTGTCTCTCATATGTGAAGTCTAAATGAGAGAGAGAATATGA